CGCCTCCCCCCGCGCGGCCCCTAGAGGGCGCTCGGAACTCACTTGTCTCTGCGTTGAGGCCCAAGGTCCGGCTCCCACTTTGGGGGGCTGAGTCGCCGCCTCTGACTCCAGCTTTTGGGTCTTGAGACTCCTATGCAGGAACCGAAGATTCACGGGCTCTGGGACCACAGGGTGAAAAACGTGAGGGGCAGGAGCAGCTCCCACGAAAGCCTTAGGGCGACACTTGGCACAGGGGGCCTCGCATCCCCAGGCTCTCCAGCACCTTCTCGCGCACCCACCGGGAGACCGGATTTCCGTAGGCTCGCGGAGGCAGCGGCGGCGCCGGCCTTCTTAGGGTCCTTGGCCAGAATCCAGGGCTGTCCGTGGCCCCAAGCCCAGTCACAAGCTCGTGGGATGTGTGGCCGCCGGAGCTGCGGGGTTGGAAGTTAATGCGTCGGCCGAGAAAATCCCCACCCCCAGACCCTCCTCCCTCGGGGATAAGGGAGGAGGAGAGAGAAAGCGGAGGAGGGGTGCCCGCGGAGGGGTGGCCGCGGGGTAACCGCGCGTAGGAGCTGGGGGAGAGGGGGCTGAGGGGGTAGGAGTGCGAGCGTAACTGAAAATGCCCGCAGTGGGATTGTGTGTGCGTGTGTGTACCTAGCTCCGCACACCTGTAGCTCCCCTTGAGTCACGCGGCACACCCCATGCAGAAGGAGGCATGCGAGGTTGTACACAATGCAGGCTGTGAGTGAGGGGGTGTGAGGTGGCACCCACCCCTCACGACAACACCCCTCCCTCCGCTCATCTCTCGTCCTCCCCATCCACCAACACACCACCTTCCCAGTCCGCTCCTTGGAAATCCACACCGGCTCCAGCCCTCCCCTCCTTTGCTCAGTCTGTTCCTACCCGACTCCCTGGGGTGAGGAATCCGGGCGTGGGTGCAGGTGAGCGGTGCAGAGGCTCCCTGGGCCCATGTGGGCAGCAGATTCGTGCCATTCTGGAAAAGCCCAGGCAGCTCTGGTTAGCTGCCCAGACAGATGCCTGGCTGTGGGGCTCCGAACGCTGAGCTGATTAGGGAGTGCCCGGATGACGAGTTGCCGCCTGGGGGCAGAACTCTGGGGGCGCGTGGGAGTGAGACGCGTGTGACCGTGAGGAGAGCAGGAGGCAGGGGGCTCCTCCCTCATCTGGCCTGAGGGGCCCTCCGGGCAGCCCTGGGGCCTCCGCTTCTCCCTTCCCCAGCATGGCTGCCCACTCCCAGCTGCTCCAGCTCTGCACAGCCAGGAGGGAGGGCCCTGCTTAGTGGGCTCCTACACCTGGAACCTGTCTCGCCCACCTGCAAGCCACTCGCACCGCAAATGAGGCCCTTCTGAGTCCTGGGCAGAGGGCAACAGCATACCTGCCGCCGCGGTGGGGGCATCACAAGGGAGTGCTCAGGCCAGGCCCACACAGTCCCCAAGCACAGAGCCGCGCACAAAGCCACTATTATAGGTAACAGGTTGAGCCAGATTCTCTGTGTGCCTGGGAGGCCCCGCCGGCTGCTAGGACCCCGGCCCTGCATGGGTTTCTGGGCCTCCACTGAACCTCCCCGCTGGGTGCCCAGCGCTCACTCGTGGGGGATTTGGTCAGTGCAATCGGCTCACTCCAGCCCAGGAAGGAGGCAGGCCTCTCCGCCCAGGCAGGTTCGTTCATTTCCCTCCTTTCCCGGCACCTCTACGCACAATGATTCGGATAATTCCTTTTCTGGTTTTGAACAGAGACCGACCGCTTCTGGCAGGCGCGTGGCAGGCCGGAGTGGAGAACTCTCTGCTGCGGGTAGTCGGCCCTGCCTGTGACCCTCGAAGCCCCTCCCCTCCTGCCTCGGCCCCAGGGACCCGGTGGCAGCCCGGCCTTTCCCGGCTGCCGCGGCCAGCGGCGGCTGATGCGGGATTCGCCAAGATTCGGTCGCAACGAATTCCTGGCAAAGAGTGGAGAGTCTGGTGCGGTTCCTCAGCGCCAAGAGCCCCAGGGCCCCGGGGATCTGGTACCTCTGGGAGCCTCAGGGCATGTACACGTGGAAGGGAGACCCGGGCCATCGGCGAGCGCAGGGAGCGGAGTGGGGCGGGAGGTCCGCTGGCTGGATGGTCTGGGCAGCCGGGAAGCCGCCTGCGCCCGCAGTAGGCGTGGGTAGGGAGCAGTAGCACTGGGGATCTGGCATGCGGGGTGCCCCCTTTCCTGCAAACTGGACAGGAGCCGCCGAGGGCCACCGGGCTGAGCGGTCTTTCGCCGGCCCGGGCAGGAGTGTGAACCCCAGCTATTTGTGAAAATGAGGAGGGGGGAGGTATTTGGGGGAGGAGGTGCCTTATGCCTAATTTTGCTTGCATTTGTCTTGCAAGATGGGGAGAGAGGTGGCTGCGAAGAGCCCGCGGGACAGTTGTGTTTGGGCCAGGCAGCCGCTCCCCATTTTTGCCCCAGCTCCTCAGTTTGACTGTCGGAGGCCAGAAAATATCCAGGAGCCTCCGGGATATTTTCAGCAGCTTCTTGGAGGGGTGGGGATGGTTCCAAGGACTGGGAGATGGTAGGAAGGCCCCGGCCTCCTCCAGGTCCCGCGACTCTGCCGCTGGGAAGCACGGAAGGTATGTCATAAAGGCCAGAAACGGAGGAGAACTCAGAACGAAAAATGCAAAAAGTGGGGGCTGGGAAGCTCCAGTACCGGTGAGAGGGGAGGAGACAGCCAGACCTGCCCTGGCAGAAGGAGGCAAATTCTACCCGGTTCCAGGAGGCCATTTCCGGATTTCGCTCAGCCGGGGTACTGGGCGCTGCAGCCACTGCAGGCCAGAGACCCACCGCAGATGTCATGACCAACAACACAGTCTGTCAGGATCTGGCCTTGGTCACCCCCTGGGCCTGTGGGTGGGAGCAAGAGGCTGGCCTACGATTGATTTTTGGATGCAGAATTCTGTCTTACAGAGAGCCAGCTCAAGGGGGCCACAGCTGAGGGATGAAGACACATGGTCTATTCCCCACAAAGCCAGTTTCCCCTTGGGCCTCCTTAGGTGGGAGGTTGCTATTCTTTGTCCCCATTTCATACATGTCCAGGATGGCAGCCTGATCAGGGATGAAGGACAGTGGCTCTCTGATGGTTTCCATGGCTCCCTCAACCCCAGCTCTGCATGCACAAACATCCCCTCCCTCCCTCTAGAGCCTGCAGATCCTGGCCCCCAGATGTCCCTCAAGCTCAGGCACCAGCAGCTGCCCCGGCAGCACCAGCTCACTTCTAGTTTCTAGCCACCAAGTTCTCTCACTCTTTCACTCCAAAGAAAAAGCCTCCTATCTCCCCCCTCTACTCCCCCAGAATGGTATGTTCCCCAGACCCTCCACCACCTGGCTTCTTCCACAAAAGCAGGCCCAAGTCAATTTTATACACCTGAGGTTGGTCTAGTGCAGTGATGGCGAACCTATGACACACGTGTCAGAGGTGACACGCAAACTCATTTTTTTGGTTGATTTTTCTTTGTTAAATGGCATTTAAATATATAAAATAAATATCAAAAATATAAGTCTTTGTTTTAAAAGAAAAAGTCCTATCTCCCCACTCTACTCCCCAGAATGGTATGTTCCCCAGACCCTCCACCACCTGGCTTCTTCCACAAAAGCAGGCCCAAGTCAATTTTATACACAACTGGTCTAGTGCGTTGTGGGGGGGGGGCCTAGATGTATGGAAAGTGTTGTGCACTATGGCTGCTGTCCTGACTGGAGTGATTTGGGGCCTTTCTGAAGGTCCCTGAGGAGTCACTTATTCAGATCCCACCTAGGGCAGGCTAGTGCTGCGAGCTGTGAAGCCCTGGTCAGAGGATCCTGGCCCCCTTACTGACTCAGTGTGTCCTAGTTTCTGCAGCTTGCTGGGTAAGGGCCTAGAACTCCAGAACTCCTAGCAGATGTTGGTACCCCCACAATGTATCTGCACACCCTACCTTAGACCCCCCTCATCTTGTCCACCACCAGAATATAATTATACCCAGTCACCCCCAGTCACTGGCAGGGACAGTCACCCACAATGATCCCCACTCCCCACTCATTCATTTCCTCAAATATTTACATACTGTTACAAATGATGTATACAGTAAAATATACATCTCATACACAATTACATTTACACAATTACAGATGATACACAAACATTCACACATTTAACACAGAAACAGATTCACAAGGAGAAACTAATATGTACTCTCACAAACATTAACACATGATTCATACACAATCACAAATACCGGTGGGTAATCATAAATTATCTCTCAAAGCACAGCTCCATTTAAACATAGTTACACACACACACACACACACACACACCACAAGTTCGAGTGTATAATGATAGTATCGATTTGTAACTTAAGCAGAAAGAAGCACACACAATAACTGCGAACTCAAAAAAATAAAATAATTGCAAACACAATTACACACTATTACAAATCAGTGAGTTCATACACAATCACAAATACCGGTGGGTAATCATACAATTATCTCTCAAAGCACAGCACACACACCACAAGTTCAAGTGTATAATGATAGTTTCGATTTGTAACTTAAGCAGAAAGAAGCACACACAATAACTGCGAACTCAAAAAATAAAATAATTGCAAACACAATTACACACTATTACAAATCAGTGATATTCTGATTGCCCACACCATTCAGAATGCACACGCGCGCACACACACACACACCTCACACTCCAAGACACGATATCCTCTTGAGCACTAGCTGTCCTGGGAGAGCCTTTCTCTCCCTCCTTCCCTCAGCTCTGCCTATAAAATAATTGCAAACACAATTACACACTTACAAATCAGTGATATCCTGATTGCCCACACCATTCAGAATGCACACACGTACACACACACGCACACACACACACACACACACCTCACACTCCAAAACACGATGTCCTCTTGAGCACTAGCTGTCCCCGGAGAGCCTTTCTCTCCCTCCTTCCCTCAGCTCTGCCTTCTGTCTGTCTGTCCCCCTCTTCCTTCCTCTCTCCAGAGCCTGCAGGTCCTGGCCTCCAGATACCCCTCAAGCTCAGGCTCCAGAGCTGCCCAGCTAACACCAAACCCAAGTAGCTGCAGGGTGTTGGGCTCAGCAAGGAGCAGGCAGCCCTAACTCCGGATCCGGAGGGTTTTATTATTTTTTTCACATAAATTACACAAGCACTTTATAAAATGGTTGCACAGAAAACACCTTATAAGTGCATAACTTAAACCCCCCCTATGAACAGGATCTGGAGAAACAGGCTGAGCTTGTGTGAAAGCCTGCCTGTGAGTACCTGGGTGGGGCTAGGATGTGTGATGGAGGTCTGGAAGGCCAAGTGACACTGTTACCGCTGTTGTGTGTGGAATGGTGTCTCACAGTGTGGCCACAGCCTCGTGTTTATGAGAAGTGCCATGCTGTTCAGAGTAAGTCTAGGTCACACCTGGCCTAGGACAGATAGTGAGAATCAAAGGTAAGAAGGCTATGGCCCTGTGTGTGCGGGACATTCTGCCATAGGTCCCCTGTGTGTGATCTGGGGTGACACCAAGAGGGACGGTGGAATCACCTCTGTGTGGGCCTGTGGGTGTCCTCATCTCTGTGTGGGCCTGTGTGTGTCGGTATGTGATGGTATATGATGAGGAGTGGGATACAGAGAGAAGGTTCCAACGATAGCCCGTGCTGTCCTCTGGGGACCCCGGAAGCTCTTCTTCGCCCTCTTCCCCCCTCTCTCTCAGTCCCACGTTAAAAATCAGATTAAAATAAAATAGATGCAAACTGAGGCGACTCTGAACAGTTTTAGCGGGCGCAGGACCGCGTGGGAGTCAGGCGTGGGTGGCGGGTCCCTGTGCTCTGCACTCCTTTCTTATTCTCCACGGAAGAGAGCGCAGTTTCAGCAAGCAGGCAGGCCCCCGTGGAGGGGCGTGCTCCCCTCCGTGGGCAGTCCGAGGCGGAGGCCGGGAGGGTGGGAGAGAGTCCTGGCTCTCAGGCCTCAGCGTTGACCCCTTTGGCTGGGCCGGGGTCTGAGGGGTGGGCTGGGCAGGCTCACTCGCAGGCCGAGGCCACAGACGTGACGCTGGTGATCTTGGTTGAATCATCAGACCAGGGCTGCAGGTTCTGCAGGGCGAAGAGCGAGGAGTTGTGAACGCAGAGGGGGTCCGCAGGCAGCGGCTGCGCCAGGCTCTTCTGGAAGGCCTCTTGCTGCAGCTGCAGGAGGATGCGGTTCGCCTGCTGCCTCTCGGCCTCGCGCTCCTCCGCGGTCTGCCGCCTGCACGGGGACAAGCTGTTACCCACGCTCCCGAGCGATCCCGGGGAGACCTGAGCGCGCAGGGGCACTGCTGCCTTGGCAGCACCCAGTTCCAGCGTGGGCCCCTCTACGCATCCCCTTATCTTGAAGATCCCGACTCCCACAAAGACTGGTAACCCCAAAAGTAGATGGAACCGAGCTGTAGCAGGGAAGCTGCGGGAAAGTCCGCTAGACAAGGAGCTGGGGCTCCCTGTCCACGCGCAGCGCCCACACAACAGCCTCGAAGGGCTCAGCCAAGAATAAAATGGCATCTTGCCTCCCCTCAACCCCCAGGAAGACCAGACACCCCCGTCCCAATCCTGAAGGGCCTAGCCTTCCCCACCAGTCCAGGAGGAGGCAAGGGCTGTGGATGCGAGCTGTCCTGCGCGACCTCTCTTCCCCCTTTTCTCCGCGAACGTGTCCCAGGCCTGGATCTCCTGCGCGAGCCCTGTGCCCTGTGCCTGCCGGGCTACCACCCGGCCAGCCGGCTTCCTCCGCGGCGTCCAGGGAGGCGATGACTCACTCCATTTAATGCCTCCCCTCCACCCCGTCAACTGAGATCAAACGTCTGTCTCTAAGGTGGACAGACCTAATGGGAGTCCCCGGGGCCTCCAGAAGCAATTTGTAGGCGATCGATGAAGCCAGCGAGGGCCTCTCCGGGCGACGGACGCCGGCCGGCCTCCCGCGGCCCCTTCTTGCTTTTCACTCGGTGTCTCTGGCTCTCTCCTTCCCCTTCTTTCCTGCACTTTCAACTGTTCTACTGATTCTCTTCCTTCGGGCTTTTGTCTTTATCTCTTGTTTTCTTTCATCCCCGCCCCTGCCCCGTTGGCTTTCTCGAGATTAAGGGAATTTGTTTGAAACGAAAATGGAGGTTTTTCTCATCTATTGCTTTTCTTTTTCATACCTAAGGCTTCATTAGGCTGCCTGGTTTCCTTTTCTGCCTGGGTGGGGTCTCTAGCTTGCCTCCCCCCCCCCCACTTTGCGTTTAGGTTTCTCTGTTGCCTGTCACTCTTTCTCTGTCCCCCACCTGGGGGAGGGTCTTCCCTGGCTCCCTCCCCTCCGCTGGCTACAGCCCTGAGAACTCCGGTGTACCCCTCCCCAGCCAGCCTCGCTCCCTCTGCAGCTAGCTTTCCAGAGGTCTGAAGCTGGGCCCCTCTTCCCCTGCGGCAGGAATGTGGGGAGGAGTGGGGAGGGCAGCAGACTCGCGGGGCAGTGGCTTCCTTTGTGGCCACCACGGGCGGAATCCCGGGCAGATTCCTCGCCTTCATTCAGTAAAAGAGGAAACTCCAATTCCTTCCTCAGGCCCCAGGCCCGCCCGGCCCGGCGCCGCCGCCTTCGTCCAGACTCCTGCGCTCCCCCTGAGGCCTGAGCTAGCGAGAAACGCCTGGCAGGCGTGGAACCGAGTGTGCGGGCTGGATGTGCGGACGGGAGGGTGCAGAGATGCAGGAGGGGCCGGCGGAGAAAGCGCTGGTGTCTGCGGAGAATAAGGCTGCCACGAAGTTGGTGGGACACAAGAAAGAGGGGGAGGGAGGGAGAAAAGAGAGAGTCAGAGAGGGACAGAGGTCGAGGTGCATGTGTATAGGGGGAAAATTAGTGTAGTGGATGTGTGATGTGAGAAGGGTAATCTCTCTCTCTCTCTCTCTCTCTCTCTCTCTCTCACACACACACACACACACACACACACACACACACACAAAACCATCTGCTCCTAATTGATCCCGGGTTCTGTGGGACCATCGAAAATCCCGCCACAGCCGGCGCGGATTGATTTTCCCCTTCCAGAGTGGGGAACCCGCGGAGGGAAGGCGGGGGGGTCGCGGGAGGAGGGAGTCCGCGGAGTCCAGGCGGAGGTCTGGGGCCCCAGACGCTCTGCAGGGAGCCCGGCTGGGGCGCAGAAACCGGGCGCAGGCCATCCTGCCTCCAGTCTCCGGGATCGAGGGGCTATCTCTGTAAGTGCACGTTTGCGCAAACAAAAAGCCCCGCGGGACTCACTGAACCAGACAACCCGGACTGCAGAGACCGCTCTAACCCGCTGCCTCCTCAAGCAGCGGCCGAGACCAGCCGCGCTTCCAAAGGCATTGGGTTGCCGGCCAGAAAGCCAGGAAGCCTCGGATCAACAGAGCCAGGGCTCGCTAGCCTCATCTCGGTAAATCGCAGCGCCTGCCTCCCACTCCCCGAGAGCCTAGCAGGAGCTGCTGGCTCCTCCGAACACATCGGGAACCGGGAGCGGAGGGAGTGTGACGTCCCGAGAGGCCCGGAGCC